ACTTTTCTAGTGTGGACAATAGAGAACTCAGACGCGCGCGCGGCAGAGTTCTGTATAGTCCACATTAGCAAAACCGACATGTGATTCCAAAAACTGAATTCGAAAGTTCGGCGGCTCTTTGAAGAGGCCGACGGACGCGTCCACATTTCTAGCGTGGGCAATGCAGGACTCAGACGCGCGCGCGCGCGACAGAGTTCTGTATTGTCCACAATAGAAAAGTCGACATGTGCTTTCAAAAACTGAATTCCAAATTCCGGTGGCTGTTTAAGGAGTCCGACGGACGCGTCGACTGTTCTAGTGTGGACAATGCAGAACTCAGACGCGCGCGCGACAGAGTTCTGTATTGTCCACATTCGCATAGTCGACATGTAACTCCAAAAACTGAATTCAAAATGTCTTGTGGCTCTTTAAGGAGGCCGACGGACGCGTCCACATTTCTAGTGTGGACAATACAGAACTCAGACGCGCGCGCGACAGAGTTCTGTATTGTCCGACTGTCCACAATATAGATGCCGACATGTGATTCCAAGAACTGAATTCAAAAATTCTGTGGCTCTTTGAGGAGGCAGGCGGACGCGTCGACTTTTCTAGTGTGGACAATACAGAACTCAGATGCGCGCGACAGAGTTCTGTATAGTCCACATTAGCAAAGTTGACATGTAATTCCAAAAATCGAATTCAAATTATCTGTGGCTCTTTAAGGAGGCCGACGGACGCGTCGACTTTTCTATTGTGGACAATACAGAACTCAGACGCGCGCGCGATACAGAGTTCTGTATTGTCCACAATAGACTAGGTGACACGGATCTCCAAAAACTGAATTGAAAATGTCTTGTGGCTCTTGAAGGAGGCCGGCGGACGCGTCCACATAGCTAGTGTAGACAATACAGAACTCAGACGCGCGCGCGCGCGACAGAGTCCTGTGTTGTCCAGAATATCAAAGTCGGCATGTATTTCCAAAAACAGAATTCAAACTTTCTGTGGCTCTATAAAAAGGTTGGCGGGCGCGTCGACATTTCTAGTGTGTATAACTCAGACGCGCGCGCGCGACAGAGTTCTGAATTCTCCAATATAGCAAAGTCGACATGCAATTCCAAAAACAGAATTCAAAAATTCTGTGGATCTTTAAGGAGGCCGACGGACGCGTCCACTTTTCTATTGTGGACAATGCAGAATTCAGACGCTCGCGCGCGCGCGCGACAGAGTTCTGTATTGTCCACAATTGACTAGGTGGCATGTATCTCCACAAACAGAATTCAAAATTTCCGTGGCTCTCTAAGGAGGCCGGCGGACGCTTCGACTTTTCAAGTGTGGACATCACAGTACTCAGACGCGCGCGCGCGACAGAGTTCTTGTATTGTCCCCATTAGCATGGTCGACATGTAATTCCAAAAACTGAATTCGAACTTTCTGTGGCTCTTTAAGGAAGCCGACAGACGCGTCGACTTTTCTATTGTGGACAATACAGAACTCAGACGCGCGCGCGAGACAGAGTTCTGAATCGTCCACATTAGCATAGTAGACACGTATTTCCAAAAACTGAATTCAAAATTTCCGTGGCTCTCTAAGGAGGCGGACGGACGCGTGGACTTTTCTAGTGTGGACAATACAGAACTCAGACGCGCGCGCGCGCGCGAGAGTTCTGTACTGTCCACAATAGACTAGGTGACATGTGATTCCAAGAACAGAATTCAAAATTCCCGTCGATCTTCAAGGAGGCGGACGGACGCGTCGACTTTTCTAGCGTCGACAATACAGAACTCAGAGGCGCGCGCGCGCGACAGAGCTCTGTATTGTCAACATTAGCATAGTCGACATGTATTTCCAAAAAAAAAGGATTCAAAATTTCTGTGGCTCTCTACGGAGGCCGACGGACGCGACGATTTTTCCAGCGTGGACAAAACAGAACTCAGACGCGCGCGCGCGCGACAGAGTTCTGTATTGTCCACAATAGAACAGTCGACAAATATTTCCAAAAACAGAATTCAAAATGCTTGTGGTTTTTTAAGGAGGCCGACGGACGCGCCCACTCTTCTAGCGTGGGCAATGCAAAAGACAGACGCGCGCGCGCGACAGAGTTCTGCATTGTCCACAATAGAACAGTCGACATGTAATTCCACAAACTGAATTCAAACATTCTACGTACAGGGTATCTGTCTGCCCCCCCCCCGTCCCCGTCGCACCGCGCGGAGAGTTTCGGAAACAAGTGAAAGGTCCATATGTCGCGGCCCCGCCGGTCGCTGTCGCACCGTTAGCCAACCTGCGTGATTTGCGCTGCGCGTGTGTCTGGCCCCCCCCCCCCGTCGCCGTCGCACCAAAAATATTGCGTGCCGCGCGTGCTTGAAGTGAGCTGTCCACGGCGAGCATGTCGCGCTTTGCACAGCTCACTTGACTGATTGAAAAAATGGCCCGTGCGACGACAGATCGTTTTTGCGCATCTGTCCACGACGGGCCCGTTGCCGCCGCACTTGGGGGATCCCGTCGGGGGGGGGGCCCTTCAGCAGTAGTGGGCGCGCGCCGCGCGCGCGCGCGTATGCGCGTCGTTGAAGGTGCCATCCGCTGATTGGAAACGGCTCCAAGAGAGCGCCCATGAAAGAATCCTCCAGGATGGAGGGTTCGAGGGATCCCCCGCAGACCAACAGAGTCCGTCTGGGCCCCTGGGCTTCCTGGGGGGCCCCGGGCAACGCAAAGGGGCGCGCTTCAAATTTGGGGGCACGGCCGCAATTTGAAAATATTATTCTTCGGGCGCCTGCGGCGGAGCCTGGAAGGATGGAGGGTCGGAGTTTAATTTGAACGAGATTCCAAATCATATCTGCGAAACACATTCGAACGAACCGGGTCAACTTACGGGGGCGCCCCGTCATTCCCAACCCTCGCCCTCCTCGTCCCCCTCGTCCTCCTCGTCCTCCTCGTCCTCCTCGTCCTCCTCGTCCTCGTCGTCGTCCTCGCCCTCCCCCCCCAGGATGACCGAAATCAAAATAAGATCGGCTCCCGGGCCCTTCCCAGGGCTCCCTCGAAGCAGTTTTTCACCCTGGATCGATTTTCGACGATCCCGGGGCCCGAAAGCGGCGCCCATAAGTGTAAAACGACAAAAAAATCTTCAAACCTCGATCCTCGAGGTTCGAACCCCCCCTCCCGTTCCCGGCGCCGAAGACGCCTCAAATCCTGCGAAGACGCCTGCGCGGAAGCGGCGCGTGGGCTGAGCTCGGGAGGGCCGCGCTCACGCCCGCCGCCTGGAACCCGTGGAGTTGTGCTGCCGCCGCTGTGGTGGGCGAGATGGCCGCGTCTCCGATGACGCCAGCTATTTTCGTCGACCCCTGAGGTTCGAAGTCCGAGGCGGGCTTCCGGCGTCGTAGCCTGTGGAAGCCATTTTCGGGACCCAGGGCCGTCAGAAATCGATCCGGAACGACAAACTGCGTCCCGGGGGTGCCGGAGTCATGCCGAACGGCCGCCAGAGTCCCCGAGACCGAATTATGGCCCGATAACCGACTGGGTCGGGTCGGCGTTCACGTCCAGGTTCGAGCAAGCCTCGAAGACCGAGATCCTCTGGCCCCTGGTGGCTCTTCTCGTCGCCGCGCCAGGGCGCGGCGCGGAAAACTGGCGCGCTCGGGCCCCGGGAGGGTTCCAGGGGCCCATTTCAATCGAGTTTTGGGCGACGGGGGCGGACGACGACGACGACGACGACGACGACGACGGCGACGACGACGACGACGACAACGGGGCAGCAGTCAGCGCAACTTCCCTGCAACATGCGCGTAGGGACACTCGCGTTTGGCTGTTTTTTGGTGGGGGAAGATGGGGGCGGACAGCGCGATGGAACCCCCGGCTCGCTCACCCTAATTACCACTCGATGAGGGCGCATGGTACACGCGCAGGGGCAAACATTCAGCGAGCAGCCCTCGGGGCAAGCATGCGGTCAACGGCCCTTGCGTCATGCATGTCAACCCTGCGCGGGGGAAGGGGGAGAGGAAAGGGGGGGGGGGGGAGCAGGAGGAAGAGGACGACGAGGGGCTTGATGCGCAAATGGCACCCTCGAGTGACAACTGTCGGTATCGCACGGAATTGTAACAAAAATTGGATGGAACTTCGTCTTGCCGAGACAGGGTAAGCAGGGCAGAGAAAGGGAGGGAGGGGCAACACGTGGCACTCAGAACGAGTTCACAGGCGCGGCCTCGAAAATCTGCAATGGCCCTGGAGTCGGACTCGCGCTGGGCAAACGTGTCCTCAGAAGCACTGCGCAAAGAGGTCGTCATGACCAGTGGACAAGTATATGTGGTGCAAGCTATCGCGTCTCCGTTGAACCCCTTGCGAAGAGGGGGCGCCAGGCAGAAATCCCCCGCGAGCTTCTCAGAAGCATGCGATATCGAATGGGCCGGCACGCCCTAACAGCAGCAACCAGCAATCAACTTGAGGATGGCATCCGCGCGGCGGCGGGCGCTGAAAACCGGACTCGGCACGACTGCGAGGCAGAAGAGCGAAGCGCCCCGCGATCGCGAAGCAGAAGGGAGCGCCCCACGACTACGAAGTATAATAACGAATCAAGTAAACAACGAAGCAGGAAGGAGATGCCAGCCCGAGGGTGGTAGGGGAGGGGAAGCAAACCTCGAACCTCTATTCAGCACGCGCAATGACGAAGCGCACTGGAAGCGCACTCGGTTGAATCAGCG